CAATCTTACCGTGTGTTTCCGAGACCAAAATCTGTATATAAAATATATCGTACCTATCATTTATAATCTTTGACAAAACAGAGATAACGATATATTTTAAATGGCGATTTTGGTCTTAGAAACTGACGGTTAATCTTGCGAATTGTGTCGTGATTGTTTTCAATTCAAAGCACATTTGCTTTCAGCAAATATAGTCTTTAGTAAAGTAATGTAAAGTAATATAAAAATCTAGCAGCTTTTATTTATTTATCTTTGTTTTTTTCCATAAGCAGATTTCATTAATTTCGGTATCTTTATAAAGCGTTTCACAGCTAAAACGATTAACGTCCTAAATAAATAAACAAGTACGGCCGCCGAGGGCGAAAGTAATCTGCTTATGGAAAAAAACAAAGATAAATAAATAAAAGCTGCTAGATTTTTATATTACTTTACATTACTTTACTAAAGACTATATTTGCTGACGATAAATGACTGATTTTTTGTACGATTAATGTACGTTAATCTTTTAGTTATTAAAACTAAAACATTTTTTCACGATTATTTTAAGTTAATAACAAATATTATATCAAAGTCTGTAGAGCAAAGTCTCTTAAAACTTTTCTTTTTCGTATAACTTACAACTTCATTTTCCGGAAAGTTAATCTAAGTTGAGTTGTAACTTGTAAGTTATTGAAAGTTTCAGCTTAGGAATAGATGATAATATCTCGAAAATTCATATCAGTTTGATGTTTTTTGTCTTTATTTGACCATCCACAAGAATAAAAATATTTAAACTTTAAAATATTGATATTATAAATACTTAAACTCAACACACTCAAAGACGGTTAATGATTATTTAAGAGATCTATTAATGTACATTTCTCATACCTTAGCGACCAATTGAGGACCCTGAGTTTGGTATAATTTCATCGTTTAAATTTTCATTACATTAAGCCTGTCCTTCGATAGTATCTTCTAAGCACGTTCTCCAGTAAATTTTAAATATATTTACTGAAAGTTTCGTATTTAGCAGTAATTAACTTCATCGGTGACCTTTTGCGACTTAATTAGAATAGCAATTAAGAGAATTTAATGCGCACCGATATTTCAACGATTAAATAAATTGCATAATTAAGTGGGATTGCGACGAAATTAAAATATATCTTTATCAAAACTGTATACAACATCAACATCTAATATATGAATATTTACTATCTATACTAATGTTATAACAAAGACCTAGCTATGTTCATCATTATATGACCAAAATGTTACATTAATATGAGATATCTCTATTAAATTATTCAAACTTTCGTGAGACATTATACTAAACTGATATATAAATAAATAATCCGCGAAAAAATACCAATACCACTCATCCTGATGAAGGGCCCCCGATGGGCTCGAAACTAGTCGGTGCCGCCACCGGACGAATATACGTGAGTGTTTAGCCGTGTTTATATATCAGTTTAGATATCTCTATTGTTTAAATATACGTTTTGTAATATAACTATGAATACATGGAAAGTTAACAAAGTTAATATTTGTCAAAGCAAAACTTGCTAGACATGTCTTTTGAATTCGCTTATTAAGCAAAAGTTAATGTTGTTTCTACGTAAGTTTTACAAACTTTTTATAACAAAAGATAATTATTATTATTAATTATATTAATTATTTAATAATTGACTTGATTTTCTTTTTTAAAATTTTATATTAAAATATTAGCAGATTTTTTTGTAAATTGACTAATATTTCTTTTACCATTCCAACTAAGCTCTATGCTTGTGCTAGGATATGGTTTACGACAATATTCGAATGACGGGATTCGAACTCCCGACCTCGTGATTGGAAATCCGTACCATTAACCATTAGGCTATTGACGCTTTTCGATTTTAAAATATACTTCAAAAGAAGAATGCTGTAGCTAAAATAGTATGATAAAAATTTAATTACCAACCGAATAGGTGCTAAGTAATATAACTATATATAACCAACCCGCACTTGGTCAGCGTGGTTGACTATGGCGTAATCACCCTTAACTTAAGGTAGGCTCCGAGCCCCTCGGTGGTTACGTATAGTGAGCTGATGATGGTGAATATATGTAAATATCATTTTACAAGTAAAAAAATTCCAAAGATGTTATTTGAGAAACGTCGAAACAAAAGCCGATATATCACATTGTTTTTTTTTTTTATTAAGTGTAAAAATATGGCCATGTTCATGGACAACAAACAATTTTCATCATAAAAAAATTTATAATAATTTCGAAGTGTTAGTGTTAAAAATATAAATATTTTAAAAACTTACATTTGCAATTCAAAATGATTCAAATATTTCTTGTCATATCTTATAACATTGTTTGAAAGTAAGCAAAGTTTTTCCTGTTCCGAGAAAAATGATGCAACATCTGCGCAGATGGTCCGTAAACTTTGCAATGCATAAATATGATACGTAAAACTGAATTGTTGATTTTTTTTTCTAAAATATAAATTCAACATCAGATTAGTACATCTCAAATATATTTTGAAGCATTTCTCACATCAAATTCAACTATCTAATTATGAAAATAATGTCCATATCAATTTGAAAAGTAAAGCCAATTACCACATGAACAATAATTTCTTATCAACTTTTTTAAGGATCAAATTAAAATATAGCTGCTAAAGAAACACATATTTTATAATTATTTTTTTATTTTTTTATTTCATAAGGTGGCAAACCAGCGAGCGGTCACCTGAAATCGCTGATATAGCGAAGTGACCGTTGCCCATAGACATACGCAATTGCATATGCGTTGCCTACCTTTAATCGACGGAGGAGAGGATGCACAGAAAGAAAATATTTTCCCTTTCCCATGCATCCTCTCATCCGGAAAGTCCACTTCCCATCCTTTCCAAAAATTTATTCGAACATATCTAAAGCTGCCAATTAATGAACGTTCAAGACCAAGAAGGTTGCATAACATTAAAAAGAAGAAATTGCTCGTTAACTGTATATTTTAAACGCTAAACAAAATAACAGGGAAAAATATGTCTTCTCGTTAGTGCTTAAGAAACAAAAGCCAAGTATACAAAGACTTGATAAACTCTTATTTTATTTTTAATACTTCAGTATGTACTCGTACTTTAAACCACTTTACTCGTAAACCTTAAAAAGCACTTTTGTACTCTTTAAAAATATAAATCTTAAATAAACCTTCTTATTATCAAAAGGTTAGACGTCTGCCCTTTATACATTTTCCTTTCATTTCATAAAAGTAAAAAATACAAAAATAAAATTCTTGAGATGATTTAAGCCCAATAGAGTTTTGTTTTTTTATATACTAGCTGTTGCCCGTGACTCCGTCGGCGTGGAATTAAAAAAAACTTAATGAGTAGCCTATGTGGTCTTCCAGGCTGTGTTCTATAGCTATGCCAAATTTCATCAAGATCCATGCAGCCGTTCCGAAGATATCTTCAAACAAATATCCATCTATCCATCCAAACATTTATAATATTAAGAAGTAAGATAAGTAAGATTTAACAAGCATAACTCTTGTCAATTAATTTAATATGCAATAACCTTTACTTTAGCTTAAATAACATTACTAATTGGTTTTTGTAATGTAAACAAACAATCATTAATTTAAATAGATTTCATTTATAAAGTTCTCGGCTTTGCGTAAATCACGTGCATGATAATGAAAGCAAACTTTATCTGCAATTACAAATGATTGATATATAAAAAGTATATGAAACTGGCCAGTAATAAAACATTGTATTCATAAAAAGTTGTTACTAAAACTTAATATTTTTTTAGATATTATCAGTAAAAGTGTGAGTTTAAACAGCATGCACTTAACCTAATTCTCACGGAAATTATTTTAAAATGATACAAGGTTAAATCTAAAGTCCTTAATTTTTTCATTACACTATTAATAATTAACGCAAATAGTAATGGCTGCTGAGAAATCTGTATGTACATTGATTCCAGAAAAAAAGTAAAATCTTGTGTTAAATACAAAATCCGCGTTCTCTCTCAATACTCAAGTTAAAAGTATATTTTTAAAAAGAGGGTTTCCATTGCCGAAACATTTATACCAACACAGGTTGTCATCTCTGTCATTCTATCTTAATAAATTAAAATGATAATATTTTCTTTTATGCGTTTTTTTAATTATCATAATACAGCGACTGATCAAGCGGTTCTCCGAAATCGCTGAATTAGGGAAGCGATCTCTGCCCATAGACATCCGCAGTTTCAGATGCGTTGCCTGCTTTCAATCGGCGAAGGAAAGGACAAAGTAACAGGATATTTCCTATGTATACCCTCTCCTACCGATTCTTCTCATTCTTATCCTTAACTTACAAGGAAAGGGTGGGAAGAGAAAAGAACTAAAACATAGGCTCCGACACGCACATTCTTGAGACGAAATGCGGAATTACTTCCACTTGACGCCTGTCTTCTGTGTGGTCATGGTATTGCACCAACTGAGCCTGCACATTTATGCAACTGATGTTGTAGCCGCAGTTTGTTACTACTGTTACTATTATACTATAAATATAAAATAAAGTTACCCTTTTCAAATAAGTTTTCCTTATTCTCTAAAATTAAAATTTCATTAATAAACTGATACGTAACCTACCAAGGTTTATCTTTCCTATAAATCCATATATTGTATTTTAAATTTGTTACAAAATGATATTCAAGTTCGAATCCTAGGATAAAATGAACAAATTATTAAAAACGGTGAAAAATCTAAATGTTCTTGCGATATATTTTAAAAGCAATGCATATTTCTAGGTATATGTAATTATAATAAAATGAAGTGTTATTTATATCAAAGGTGTGAGGGTGTGGTCCGGATGCGGAAGCGTCAAAGCCTTCAGGCTGGAATGCCCAACCTGTGGAGCCTACACCTGCGTGGGAGGACACAACCTGTTACGCGCTCTAAATTATATTTTAATAATACATTTCACTATTAGAAATTTACTATTTAATAATTTGAATATAATTTTTCATTTATAAATAATAATACTTACCCTTCGCATAACACGTAGAGAAAACGATGATGTCTTCATGTTTATTTTTTTTTATTAATTGCCACGCGTAGGAAACCGAATTTGCCGACTTAAAGCACACTCTTAATAAAATGATTTATTTTTAACTTATTACTTTATTGAATACTAAAAAGCGCACACAAATATATACTTAAATCACTATACAGTTTAACTTACGCGTACAAAATATAAATATCAATACGTTTGATGGAATATGATGTACAAAAAATATTTCTCGATTGTTTTAAGAAATTTTTATTATTTAATATTTGGAATAAGTCGGCGGGAGACGAGCGATGCTCGGGACGGTATATTGGCGACTGATTACTCTGTACTCACCCCGACGTAGATACAGGGTGAAAAGGACATACTATACTCGCAAAATGAAAGTAGTATGTGCAAGAACATCCAATCAAATGTCAACTCTAAATCAAGTGAGTAGGGATTAAATTTAAAAATGGAATATTGTAAACGTTTGAAGGATGTGTAGCTTGGTCTCGTTTTCGCCTTCATCCGGTTGGATGGAACACAGATACAGGATGAATTGAATTTGCACGCTCACCAGTGTACCGCTCCCCGGCGGGTATCGGTAAGGGAGTTTTCCTTGCTGTTGAATCCATTCCTGATACAATATGACCGATATTTGAAATGATAATGATCTAAACGTAGCTTACAATACCCTATAAAATTGTTTCGTAGTTATAATTTTGTTAATTTAACCTATCGCTAAAATAAGGTATTATAATGAAATTTAGCCCATTATAGTGATAGTTGCATTATTTGAAATAAGTTGTCAAATTAGATTTGGTAAAAAAGCTAGAATAATTTTATATTTCATACCTAAATAAGTATATGTAGCCAAATATAACCTCATTTATATTCTTATCATGACCATTCCCCTGTTGAACGGTTACGAAACCACGTAACCTTGTAGCATCGTAGCTAGATTGCTACGAATTACGCTACTACGTAGATACGTATCCACAGTATAAATGTATAACCACGTAGAGGTTGCCTACGTAGATTTATGCATTGCAACTGATGGAAAGACCACACAGTGCGATTGCTTCCGCGAATTTAATACAATTGTTGGGTAAAGTGGGCGGATTCAGCGGTTATCCATTATATGTATGTACATATAATAAATTGCTTTTCAAAGCTATTGACATTTATGATTTATGTCATGGTTTGAATGTTATAGGTCCAAATGTACGATAAGATTATTTTTAAAAAGTAGTTGGATGGATTTTTCGTTTAAAATTGCAAACAAACAATCGAAAATTTTCGTTTAAATGTATATATCCAAAAGTAAGTTTCAAGTTATTAAATTGAACGAGTTTTTGACTCTGATGAATCTATTTGTTAGGTTACATTTCACATTTCTATAGTCAATCAGTCAACAAAATACACGTAGCTCGCAGCAAGCGAGGCGTTAACTCAAACAGATGCCAATTATCACAAATTAAGCACTCAACTTGCAACTGATGAGCACACTGTTGATGAACGTAAAGGCTTTTTTATGTAATTAATTTAACTCTATATTTTGTTACACTTTTAACGGATCACTATAAAAATAATAAAAAAATGGAAGCCGTTTTTTTTATAGAATGTAGTCAATATCAGTATCTAACGCAAAATGTAATTTTTTACGTAATAAAAAAATCCAAAAAATGTTTGTGGCAAACCATCACAGCTAACTTTGCGTCTTCACTAAGCTTTATCAAGCCTACCCTATGTTAGAGTGACTAGACCATAGTCAACCACGCGAGCCCAGTGAATGTTGACTTCGTAAATCTTTGGATTTCTCCGAAGATATGTGCAGGTTGTGTCACGATGTTTTCCTTCGCTATTAGAACGTCAGATAAATGTACATATGTAAATTGATAAACACATTCGAACATGGCGAAATTCGAATCCAGGACCTGCAGTTTACAAAACAAATGCTTAACCGTTAAGCCACTGTTGGAACATGCCATCTTCAAATGTTTATCTCTGTTTCTTTGTAGATACGTGTGACTGCGTGATTTTTTTAATCAAGCCTAGTTATGTATAAAATCTTGTTCTAGTCAAACATTTAATTTTTAATAAGCGAATTCTTTACAAGTACAAAGTTATCATTAGATGTTTTATTTGACGCTACTAACTTTAATTAGGAGGCGTGTAATAATATTTGTAATGTTGGCAACACCCTAGCGACATTACAGGTAATGGATACCTCGCGCTCTAAGAAGCAATTATGTCCCCACTGAGGTAGTAATTTATTGTCATATAGAGGATGGTTTAGAAGTTATAAATTAAAATATTTAAAAACAAAAAGTTTAATTGGTTGCAGGTTATTATTCTCACATCGTTCACTATGTGAACTTCCATACAAATAAAATAGAGCCATTTTAAATTTATGGTTCTTTAAATAGTTCGGTTTAAGTCTTAGTAGTACTATTTTTTTTGTTGCCACTTAATTAACATGGCAGTGGCTGAGATTGAAATCATAAAAAAAACATCATAATCGACCTGCCCTTATCCCTATTGAGGGTCGGCAAAGTATGTACTACTCCTCAATACATCTCTATCAGCCGTCATATCCGAAGCTTCCCCCTTCCTACGCATATCCCCTTTCACACAATCATTCCGTACTTTTTTTGGTCTTCCTCTACCTTTGTAGCCATTGAAAAAAACTATAAAAAAATTAAGTTGAATTTTAATATAATACATTTATTTATGTTTGAGTTATATACACTTAAAATTCAAGTTTCAATGTTTAACAAAATACATTTTTAAATAATTAAATTTCAAGACCGTTTAATTTTTCTGAATCGCGTCTACTATTTACTTTTAAAACCATCCTGTAAATTCTTCTGAGTCACGGATGATGTTTACGCGTACGTCATTTAATTCATTAACCGAGTGTCGTAAGCCACTGGGAAATGGAACTAAACCTTTGCTGCCAATGGCAAGTAAATGAACATCATTACTGCGTGGAAGTTTTATTGACCATTGCGAGCAAGTTGTGTACTTGACCGGACTGTGAAGCTATTAAGTTGCTAAAGTTAGATTGTTTTACTTTTTAAATTATATTTGACTTTTGTTAGCTTATTTTGACATAAGTTTATCTTATTGTCAGCTAAATGTAATTTGCAATTTGGCATAGATGTAGAACATAGCCTGAAAAAACACATGGGCTGTTAGTTAAGTTTATTTTTAAACCCGCGCGATGGAGTTAGTTACCAATAATTTTCTTTTAAAACATAACTTAATTGTTGATAAAATACGCTTAAATTATGTTAAATTCTCGCCTTTTTAATACATATTTAAAAAGCTGAAGCGAGAACGTGGTTAAATGAAAGTGTTATTACTAAAGTTAGTAGTCCTTTTCCTTGTGAATAATAGAACCATAACTCCAATACTAACTTTGAAACGTTAAGATAAGGTTTTTGTTACGAATAAACCAGAGTTTAAAGTTGAACCTATCTGATGTTAAGTGGTGACTCAGTAGAAAAGATGGTAAGCGGGTTTTAAGAAGCTTATTCACCCTTCTCTTAAAGACTATTTCATACGATTTATATTGTTATAACAAGGCATAAAATTTTTTGCAATTTAAAACATATAACCGATGTTATTTGGTTTAAGTGTCCCCATGTAGGTTTAATGAAATAAAACAAAAAAAAATCGAATTGTTTTTTCAACTATTGTAGCTATATATTGTAGGAGAACTGAAAAAAAAACAACTTTTGCGCAACACATAAATTGTTGGACTTCGTTTTGCCGAATTTTCCGCCGGGACACAAGACGTACGAGCGCCTGTGTGTTTTTTTTATCAACCATATTTTAGTGTAGTTTTACTGCTCTAAAAATGTAATGTTTTCTAGACACTAACCCTTGTTTCCTGAGACCTAAATCTCTGTATAAAACATATCGTAATTTCTTTGAAAAAGAAAGAGATAACAATAATTTTAAACGGAGATTTTGATTTAAGAAACTCACGGTAAGACAGTTCCTAAGTGTATATTTATTGAGAGAAATCTACACTAAGAGATATAAGACAATAAGACCGATTTATACTAAAAACTCGAGATAAAAAGCTAAGGGTGATTAGGCCATAGTCAGTCAACCACGCTGGCCAAGTACGGGTTGGTTGACTTCACACATATTTTTGAATTACATCTCAGATTCTCTGTGCAGGTTGCATCACGATGTTTTTCTTCACCGTAAGAACGTCGGATAAATGTACATATGTAAATCGGAAATCGAAAAACACATTGGTACATGGCGGGATTCGAACCCGGGTCCTGCAGATTGCAAGTCAAGTGCTTGACCACTGAGCCACCGACGCTCGTATACGACCAATGGATACGGTTGTTTTATTGACTTTGTTTATATTAACATATGTTAAAATGGATTTCACTCATTTGGATTCCTGACAAGTATACCATACTTCTCTTACAGATGGTTGCGTTATAATTATATAATAGTATAATACAATATAGTTTAGAGTCAAAGTATTACTAGTATCAGCGTTAGATTATATTACCTACTGTAAGTGTTATAACCCAAAGTGCATATAACATTAGAAAACATCTAAATTCCTGCATAGAACATAACCTTGTTTACGTTCGAGTAAGCAGTTTTAATCCCGGTGAAGAACTCGTTAGGAAACTTTGTGTCCCACTTTCAGTTCCACCTCGTATTACCTTTCGTACATATTTTGTTTGCTTTGACAAAACGGAATTAAAAGTAAACCTAGTTATCGCCTGCGACTCTGTCTGCGCGGATTAAAAAAAATCATAATAAGTAGCATAAGTATTATTTAATTCAAGTCATCGCGATCCGTTCAGCTGTTCTGGAGATACCTTCAAACAAACATCCATCTAACCATTCATCGTCATCAGCTCACTATACGTCTCCACTGAGGAGCTCGGAGCCTATCTACCTACCTACCTACCTGTTGATACCTAACATTTGCATTTATAATATTAGTATGATTATTTCATAATAAGGTTTTCGTCTTCCAGATTGATCTATCATTCACCACACCCGCT